ACGCTGTGAAGGAACTATTCACGTGACATTTTAGCAGGTTTAAGATACTCCAGCAAGAATTTATCAAAGGTGGCTTTACAAAATAAAAATTTCCCAGACAAATTTCTGTTGTATCCCTTTTTCTGAATTTTTTTACACACAGTGGAAAAGCGGTCTAAACTCTTCTAATCCCCTGTGAGAATTAAAATGCATGATTACAACGTGTGTTGCTAGGGTGGAGTCAAAATGAAGTCATCCTCTTCATTCTCCCTGAAGATACCAAAACCAACCTGCAGGAGGCGCTCTCACACAAGCAAAGTAAATGCTCGGTTTATCGCTGAGGGGATTTCACAGGAGATGAAACTGTACTTTAGAAAAATACTCCAGAGTAAAGCTTTCATAACAAAATGAGAGGGACACGTTTTTGCATAAACATGGAGGGCCGTTTGAGGCTAAGGCTTTTGGAGAAGGATGAGTTTGACGCCCATGTGTGCGAGTTGTCTTGGATTTGCTCCTCCTGGTTCTCTGAGCACAGATGTCCATCAGAACAACGTCTCTATCGTTTCTGCTGTCACTCGTGTTGCTGAAAGTAGAAGATGGGAGGAGTTTAGACACTTAAAGAGCAAGTCAACCCCTACCAGTCTAACTCCACTTCATGTTTGAAAAATGTAACAAATGCTGTTGCCTGGCAGACCGAGAGGGCGGAGCTTCAAAAAAATACACACACAGGCTCACAACAGCATTGTGACATCATAACTTACCAGTTTACATCATAGCATACCTCTTAGCCAATAACGGTGGCAGATTTAAATTAGAATACAGTGCAGAGTTTTTACCTGACAACGGCACAACACTGCCAGTTTTAGGAAGAATATTTAAATTTTAACTAAGATGCACTGAAGTGCCAAATTATTGACGACACATGTCTGCAGCACGATTAGACACTCGTTTATTTAGTTTATCAGCAAAAAAAATTTATTTGGGGGTGACTTGCTCTTTCAGCAAACATAAAACATATGTAGTACACAGCAGTTAGCCGCTGTTATGGGTGCATTTCTTCCAGTCGCGAAGCAATGCGTCATAGAAGCGTGATGCGCTAAAATTAATTTCCAGTTGCTTAACTAGCAAAAAACTTGAATCATGACCAGTGAAACCTCCGTAGCTGAGGTGAATAGAAAATAAACCAGAGGTTTTGGGATACACACTGCCGTCTTTCACCTTGCTTATCACGTGAACTGCCGGTATCATAAGTGGCCTTTCAATTTTCCAGTCATTGTGTGACCTCACGGGACCAGCTGCATTGGTAGTCAGTGTCCCCAACCCTGACATACCCATCAGGGTATATTCTTATTTTCTGACTTTTTCCACAAGGCGTTCTTCAATTTATTACATCTCGCCGCTAAATATCTTCTCATTTTTGAGGGGGCAATGGCGGCGCTGTTGACAAAATTAAAGAAAACTGCGTCCTGACCAATCATAAACTTGTGGTCTCCAGAGATCCAGGCCCAGGTCTCATTCACTTTTGACGGATAGTTAAAAAGTTGGGCAGGCCTCCGTCACCGTCTTTGAGCCCATTGGAGAGCCCTTGCGCCAGTGAATAATGGTGTTGCGTATCGCCGTACCCACGCAGACAGAGAAGTATAAATCAGACTTTAGGGACTGCATAGCTGAGCAGAAGCAGCTGTAACTTCAGAGTTGGCTTTTGACATTGCTGCAAACAGCTGACCCCTGGGCTCATTCGTGAATGACACAGTTGACTGCTAGGATAGGAAAGGTGGTAGTCTAACTCATTAAACCGAATGGTTTCATATTGTGTAAATATGCACTCATAACCTCATATATCAGGCTTCAAAATCAAAGATTTTATCTAGCGAGCCATGAAAAAAAGCTGATTAAAAACATCTAAAATCAAGAACCACAGCAAGGTAAAATGTTAGTCAATGCAGATAAAGTCACAAGCCATCAGTATTGTTTCAGAAGTGCCTTGTGTGTTTTATGTGGCCATGAGGCATGCTAACCTCCACCCCCCTTATATAGCTACCTGCTTTATTTCTTAAAGCCATTGTGAAACTAGCATGCTTTGCAAGATGAGGTGTGTGCAAATGTAATAAAGTAAGCAAGAAAACATACTTGTTTCAGGCGGTGCAACTCCACTCATGCGTTGAACTCCTCCAATAGCGCCATTTCCTTCAGCACCAAGCTCCGGATTTACTGAAAGGCTGTGAGAATTTTGTGAGGGATTCAAGCTGCTTGGTTTCTTAGCTACTGGTGGAGGGACTTTGTCACACTTCACCCCACTGGTTGAGACAGTCCCAGGCTTTGATTGGTCAGAAGCCTGCCTTAGTTCGGCTGCCAAGCTTTGTTTCAGACTTGCCTGAGCTTCTAAGGAAGAGGCAGCCACGGTCTCCATGACTACCTTTTTTGTGCTCCTGGAGAAGATAAAGCTAGCAGTAGAGGCTGGCGATTTGTTCATGTCATAGCCTTCAGGTAACTTCAGAGGCTGAGGTCCTGGTTCACCAGCGTAACTATAAATGGGTAATCTCATACCCTTTCTGGGGGGAAGACCATCTCTTGATGACATGGCTGCAGTTTTCATTCGTATGGCCTCCTGTAGGCGTGTTGAAGGAGGAGTCATTGTCACAGTAGACATTTTTAGAGTTGGAGGGGAAGATTTCAGTGACAAAGACTTGCGGATGGGCTTTTGAGGAATATTTTGGAGTTCATTAGGTGAGTCAGTATAGTTCTCTTGAGCTGGAGCTCCCACATTTGTGGACTTGTCTTCAGATGTCACATTCACCTGATCTTCAGTCATGCTGACTGATCTGAGGCGAACCATCTGAAGCAATGAGGGGGTGACCAGTGGTATGTTGGCATCCTCTTTAGGAACAGGTGGACTTTTGTGTCGGGAAAGAAGCTCCTTGCTCCGGGTGTCTTTATGAGCTCCACTGGGTTGCCTTCTGAAGTTACCCCCATGGGTTGAATTCTCTGTTGGTGGATCGGGTGCTGTCGACACGGAGTTTGGAGCTGAATTTTGGTCACTTACTTGAGCAAAGGGAGATTGATCTTTGGTTTTTAGAGAGTTTTGCATCGGGAAACTGCTGTGGAGAACCACGGCTGTGACTGACACTGGACTCTCAGCTCTGGTAGCAGGTGATACAGAAGACATGTCCTCTTCTGGAAGTGAAACACTGTAAGCAGTGCATGAAATATTCTGCACCAATTGAGAAGAATCTTCAAGAGCAATGTCAAGTTTTGAAACTTGCATTTCAACCTGCAGGTTGTTGTCAATCACAGTTGACTGGGACTCAGCTGGGTTTGGGTCTGTCACATTCATTAAACTGTCCGTTAATGAGGGCGGAGGAGGTGGAGGAAAATCTACCTCATCACCACCATCAAAGGCGGAATCCCCTTCCAGTGGAGGAGGAGGAGGAGGAGGCCAGCAGGGGTCCTCTACGTTGGCCGACTCCTGATCCTCGTGGGATTCCTTTGGTGGTTGTAACTTTGAAGAAGAAGGCGTCTTCCTCATTATGGGGGGTGTAGGGTGATAGGTTGGTGGAGGCGTAGGTGGTGGTGAGATCTTACTAATTTTGGGGGTCTCTATAGAAAGTGTGTGCATGGATTGGACCTCACACTTCTCTATCTCATTCTCACTCATGTCAACTACAATCATAACAGCGTCATGTGAAGAGGTTTCACTGTTCTCCTCAGACAGATGAACCTCTATTACAGAACTGCTACCTGTTTCCCTTTTTTGTGTATCTAACAGGCGCTCAATTTCCTCGCTAAATACTACCCTTGTGGGCTTTTTCATGATAGGAGGGGGATCTTTCTTTGGAGTGGTCTCTTGAATTGCTGTTTCTGTTACTGAGACAGAAGTCTCCTCACTCTGAGATTCTGCCTTTTCTTTTTCTTGAACTTGCTTTGTGTCCGGACATTCTCCAAGTGTCTGCTCCATGTCACTGCCATCAGAATCAATCTCCAGCCATGCTGCAGACTTTGTGTTATTTTCAGACACTTCCTGGACAGATTTGGCTGTCTGGGTTTCACCTTGAACTTGCATCTCTTTTTGGGGTTCAGTTTGGACTTCCGTGTGTTCATCCACTCTGTCCTGAATCTGGGCAGGTTTCTGGGGTAGTTTATTTGTTACATAGCATGGTCCACACAGAAGCTCAACAGTACGTTTGCTGTGAGCCCATGCCTCTGGAGGTGGTGGACATGGTGCCTTGACTTTAGGAGGTGGAGGGATATTAAAGAGTTCTTGGAATTCAACCCTAATATTTGAGGGATTGTTGTTAAGAATGAGTTCTTTTGTCAAAACAAGTGGTGAAGATCCCCGTGGAGGCAGACCTGTGCTACATGTGGAAGAATCGGCATTAGCAAGCTCAGATGTACCAGATGATAAAGAGGTAAGTGAAGAAGAAGGGGATGCTGCTGAGGATGAAGCCCGAGATGCTGATCTTTCTGGTTTGACGAGTTTTTTCTGCTTGTGTGGGGAGGTCTGAGGGATAACTTTAGGGGAAAACGTTGGAGTGCCACTCTGACTTGAGTAGCCGCTGGAGGGGGACATTGTCCGTTCAAATGTTTCCCCTTCCAGGGCATTTTTCTGTGAAGGGTAGGTACTGACCTCTATTGCTTCTCCATTTAGGTTAGAAGAGATCTCTTTGGGGGTCAACGGTGAGGAAGAAGAGCCTGCAGAGCTGGACCCAATCAAGTTTGACACCGGTGTTGGTACTGTGCTGATATCTGTAACAGTCAGCTTTGTGTCATCTCCCCCTAAAGCCTGTTCTGAGAAGCATTTCTCTTCTTCTGAAGCAGAGTTTCTGATATCCACAAAAGTCTTTGAGGTGCTTCTTATCTTATTACCATGCAGAGAGTTGGTTCTTCTTGGAGGTGCTGGGGGTTGCTTGGTCTTCATAACTGACAGACTGTGAGAGAAGTTATGTTTGTTCTTTGCTTGTTCCCTAACAGCCGTTGACTCTGTTGCACCACTTTCAGATCTTGATTCTGTAGAGTTTTCGCCTGTATTGCTGGGGCTGGTAATCACACTCACTGAACTTTGGGGACTAGCAAGATCTTGGTACTTAGACTGCTCTGTCCGGCTTTCTTGCACAACTTTATTTGAGGATACAGACAAGGAGTCTGACATAATTGTCTTTGAGGACTGGGAATCACTCCAGTTTGACCCTGAGGCAGATTTGGATAATTGGGTGGTTTCAGAGTTGGTGCTGTTAGTCTGGGAACTGTCACCATCTGATCTTCTGGACAGCAAAGGACTGACTGCCGAGTCCCCAGACGTAAGGCTGCTTTTGCTAACAGTACGAGCACTGCTACCATGACTGACACTACCACCTTGCGTCCGACTGATGCTGCGGTCAATCTCAATTACTTCAACCGAGGCTGGCAAAACAGCATTTGGGATTATCGTAGACAAGTAAGTAGCCTGAGGAGAGATGGACATCACCGGGCCCTAGAGTGAGACAAAAGCAGGTGTTTTATGTCTAAAAGTTACAAATGCTCAAAATACAACAAACCACAAGAGTTTCACATTTTAGAAAACTAGTTTTGCAGCAGTGTCCTTCATGGCATCCTTACCTGATGCTCCTGGAGGAAATTAAAAGTTGAGGGAGACAAAGAAAAGCAAGTGGTCATGCCAGGCACTGCAAGCGACTTGGGTCTCAGGGTGAATGTGGGACAGAGATGCTCACTCGTGATCACTTCGTCTCTGAATGTCTGCTTATGAGAAAATGAAAAGTAGTTACACCTTTTGAAAACACAGATAATTAAGCTGATTTGCTTCAGAACCATTTACCTCCAGTTCTGAAAGATGCACTCTTGCTCCCTCTTTGTTGGCTGCTGGAGTTCCTCCATCAACTGTTGGGATGACAACAGCACTTGATTGGCTCTCACTGTCAGGCTTGTCATGATCGGGGAGTTGATTCGACACAAGTGGCTGAAAGGTGGAGCTTCTGTGTAGAGCTTTGAAGAAGGTGGCTGACTGTTAATTACACATCGCATTGAGTTTTCTCATCATCAAGTGACAAGATTGTGAACATACCAAGTTCTTTCTGGACCTGGTTGGGAATACCCATGATGGTGGTCCTTCTGTTCCTCTTCCTGCTTCTGTCTGTCGTTTTCACTGGATTCAGAGGTTTGAAAGTAGAGCCTAACAGAGGTTTAAAATAAAAAACACAACATTTGTGTTGAAAGGCTGACTTTGAGTCGAAAGCTTCGGTGACTAAATGGTGTTACATTCTCAGTGTCTGACCTGAGAGATCTTTGTTAAAGGGACTTTATGGAGTTTTGAATTTTTATGCTCGCGATTGCCCCCTCAGGCCAAAAGCGTAACGGCAGCTTCAATAGTAGGCTCGTGCACGAGGCGCGCATGCTGTACGTGCACACTCCTTAACGAAAATAACAGCTGAGACAGTCCCTTGTGTGTGTGTGTGTGTGTGTGTGTGTGTGTGTGTGTGTGTGGCCCGGAGGACAGAGGACAGGAGAACGTGCAGCTAATTAATTAAATAATTTGGTTCTGTACCTTTCTCTTCAGCACAGCCGACAAAGGTTTATGATGGGTCAGTCCTCCTGCATGCTCAGATCATTCCCTTCCCTTGTTTGAAAAATTTTTCCAAAATGAAAGTTGAACCCACATCTTTTTTATCTGTGAATTCAATGCCGTTCAGCGAGTCTCAAATAATAATTTAGGCATCTTGCTGTAAAAAAAACATTAATGTAAAAAATAAACTCTAAACAAACTATGTTCACATTGAAAATCAAACCCAGGTCTCCCTGCATGAGAGTCCATTGTCTTTTTAGATGAGCTAAAGTACCAGTGACATCTATTGTATCTGTAATATTCATATCCTTGATGACAGCTGAAACAACGTTCACAGAACAGTTTGGAGTGAAAATGGCTATTTTGTTGCTAATTTGCAGGAAATATCTAGAAGAAAGTAGCTAAGGGTCCTCAGAAATGTAGCTAGGTTCATCACTAGGCGTTAGGAACAGTGACAAAGTCGCTGAGTTGGCACTACCTCACTCTCTGCTGCTAAAGCTACTGATAGCAAACGCTACAGGCTATGCCTGAGTGTGAACGCGCATGAAGCAGCCTGCTCGACCCGAGCATCTCTCTTTTTCTGTGATTTTACAGAAAAACAGGCAATCACAGTAAAAATGCCAGGGCTCATTCTACAGGACCAGGGCATTGCAGGAGAATGTAAGAAGAAGAAATGTATTATTTCTGTACATGTTTTGGCTGTCAAACTTCCATAATGCCCCTTTAATACATGTCATAACCAACCTGGGTGGATGGTACTAATTGCACTAAAACTACAAATCCCAGAATGTACTGGAACAGGCAGCAGATCTGATTTTGTTCAATGCTGAGGACTTCCACAACATAGCCTGATCCCGGAAAACAATGACCTAAAACAAGGGGTGTTTCTCAATGCCAAGGAACCTCGCCTTGATGTCTTGGTCCCGCCCGGTTGCCTAGGAGATACGTCATCAGACGTGTTCCAATGTTCATGTTCTACCGAGGCATCTGTTCTTCGTTTGTTAGCCGTTTAGCTAGCTGAACAAGGATACACATGAGGTGTCTTTGTAGCCTGGTCAAAAATTTCCCAGAATACACCGCTGCATCGCACCGCAGTTTGGCCATAACGAACACCATGTTCGAACATAAGGATGCCCATTGGTACAGTTGGTACCAGGGCAGCCTAGGTCACAGGTCGATGATAGACTTTGTAATCATATCATCTGACCTGCGGCTGTATGTTTTGGACACCCGAGTGAAGAGAGGAGTGGAGCTGTCAACTGATCACCACCTGGTGGTGAGTTGGATCAGATGGCAGGGGAAGATGCCGCGTAGATCTGGCAGACCCAAACGCATAGTGAGGGTCTGCTAGGAACGCCTGGCAGAAGAACCTGTTAAGACAGTCTTCAACTCCCACCTCCGGCAGAGCTTTGACCGCGTACTGAGAGCAATGGGGGACATTGACTCCGAGTGGGCCTTGTTCCACTCTGCGATTGTTAAGGCGGCTGTTGCTAGCTGTGGTCGCAAGGTGGCCGGTGCCAGTCGTGGTGTCAACCCCCGTACCCGCTGGTGGACACCAGAGGTTCGGGGAGCCGTCAGGCTGAAGAAGGAGGCCTACAGGGTGTGGCTGGTCTGTGGGTCTCCGGAGGCAGCAGACAGGTACCGGATAGCCAAGCGGGGTGCAGCAGTGGCAGTTGCCGAGGAAAAATCTCGGGCGTGGGAGGAGTTTGGTGAGGCCATGGGGAAAGACTATCGATCGGCTCCAAAGAGGTTCTGGCAAACTGTCCGGCGCCTCAGGAGAGGAAGGCAGCAACTCGCTCACACTGTTTACAGTGGGGATGGGGAGCTGCTGACGTCAACTGGGGCTATAGTCGGACAGTGGAAGGAATACTTTGAGGAGCTCCTCAATCCCACCTACGCGCATTCTGAGGAGGAACCAGAGCCGGGAGACCTGGGGATGGACTGTACAATCTCGGGGGCAGAAGTTGCTGAGGTAGTCAAACAACTACACAGCGGCGGAGCCCCGGGGGCGGATGAGGTTCGTCCTGGGTATCTCAAGGCTATGGATGTTGTAGGGCTGTCATGGTTGACACGTCTCTGCAACATTGCGTGGTCATCGGGGGCAGTTCCTAGGAAGTGGCAGACCGGGGTGGTGGTCCCCATCTTTAAGAAGGGTGACCTGAGGGTGTGTTCCAATTATAGGGGAATCACACTCCTCAGCCTCCCTGGAAAGGTCTACTCCAAGATACTTGAGAGGAGGGTCCGATCGATAGTTCAATCTCAGACTGAGGAGGAGCAATGTGGTTTTTGTCCTGGCCGTGGAACTGAGGACCAGCTCTATACCTTTGCAAGGGTGATGGAGGGGGCATGGGAGTTTGCCCAACCAATCCACATGTGTTTTGCGGATTTGGAGAAGGCTTATGACCATGTCCCCAGGGGCACCCTGTGGGGGACGCTCCAGGAGAATGGGGTGGGTGGCTTTCTTTTAAGGGCCATTCAGTCCCTTTACCAGAGGAGCGTGAGTTTGGTCCGCATAGCCGGTAGTAAGTCTGACCTGTTCCCGGTGAGGGTTGAACTCCGCCAGGGCTGCCCTTTGTCACCGGTTCCGTTCATCACTTTTATGGACAGAATTTCTAGGCGCAGCCGTGGTGTGGAGTGTGTCAAGTTTGGTGGCAGGAGAATCTCGTCTCTGCTTTTTGCGGATGATGTGGTCCTCCTAGCTTCATCCAGCTCTGACCTTCAGCTCTTGCTGGGTAGGTTCGTGGCCGAGTGTGAAGCGGCTGGGATGAGGATGAGCACCTCCAAATCTGAGACCATGGTTCTCAACCGGAAAAGGGTGGCTTGCCATCTCCGGGTCGGGGAGAGGTCCTACCTCAAGTGGAGGAGTTTAAGTATCTCGGGGTCTTGTTCACGAGTGAGGGTAGGAGGGATCGGGAGATTGACAGGCGGATTGGTTCGGCGTCTGCAGTGATGCGGACGCTGAGCCGATCTGTCGTGGTGAAGAGGGAGCTGAGCCAGAAAGCCAGGCTCTCGATTTACCGGTCGATCTACGTTCCTACTCTCACCTATGGTCATGAGCTTTGGGTAATGATCGAAAGAATAGAATAGAATAGAATAATCCTTTAATAGTCCCACAAGGGGAAATTTGGTTGTGTCAGCAGCAACATCACACATATACAAACAATGCAGGACACAGAACAGAAGCACAGTTATTACATATTTACATCATGGACAATAGTTACCAGAGCAGAGTACAATACAGTTGTTTATATAAGCGCACACATAATGTGTAAGCATAGCAGGATACTGAAGATGTTAAAATAGTTTTAAAAGTTTAAGATGATTAAAAGAGTGCAGATTGTTTATTTTTTACCCGTTCATTAAAAAGTAGACATGTAGCCTTCAATAAATTATTGCATGTATAAGCTGAGAAAAAGTAATGTGTAAGTTATAATTGTAGAAGTTATTACAGCACTGATGCCGACAACTGTTTTTTTTGGGAGCAGTTCTGATTGTACAGTCTAACAGCTGCAGGGAGGAAGGACCTTCAGAAACGCTCCTTCATGCATCTAGGATGCAGCAGTCTGTCACTAAAGGAGCTCTGCAGTTCAGCAACATTTACATGCATGGGGTGGGAGACTCTGTCCATCAGAGATGTTATTTTGGCCAGAGACCTTCTGTCTCCCACCACCTGCACTGGGTCTAGGGTGCATCCTAGAACAGAGCTGGCCTTCCTGATGAGTTTATCCAACCTCTTCCTCTCAGCTGCCAATAAACTGCTGCTCCAACATACCACGCTGTAAAAAATGACAGATGCTACCACAGAGTCATAGAAGCTCTTTAAAAGCGCTCCCTGTACCCCAAATGACCTCAGCCGCCTCAGCAGGTAGAGTCTGCTCTGACCCTTCCTATAGAATGAGATTGCGGATACAAGCGGCCGAAATGAGTTTCCTCCGTAGGGTGGCCGGGCTCAGCCTTAGAGATAGGGTGAGGAGCTCGGACATTCGGGAGGGACTCGGAGTAGAACCGCTGCTCCTCCGGATCGAAAGGAGCCATTTGAGGTGGTTTGGGCATCTGGTCAGGATGCCTCCTGGACGCCTCCCCGGGGAGGTGTTTCAGGCATGTTCTGCCGGCAGGAGGCCCCCGGGTCGACCCAGGACACGTTGGAGAGGTTACATCTCCAATCTGGTCTGGGAACGCCTTGGGGTCCTACCGGAGGAGCTGGTGGAGAAGGCCGAGGAGAGGACAGTCTGGAGCTCCCTAGTTGGGATGCTGCCCCCGCGACCTGGACCCGGATAAGCGGAGGAAGATGACAATGACGACACCGCTGCATTTTCAAAAGGATGGCGGATAGCCTGCAGCTGCTTCAGGGACAAATTTCAAGTTTAAATGTAATGGGCTCGACACACGGGAGGCGACAAACAATCGCGATCAGCGAAATTTGTCGCTGTCGCTTTTATTACCTGACACACGGGAGGCGATCCGCGGCAGCGGCCAGCGGCAAAGCCGTCTACGAGTTCTGTTCCATAGCGAAATCGAAACTTCAGTTGTTTTGCTTGGCTGTGTTAGGTTGGAGGAAATTAAGGTTATTTAAGCGGTTCAGAGTTAATAAAGCGGTAGATATGATGTTTCACAAGGTGCTGTTAGAGTTATGTGAAATCTTACTTCTAATTTTACTATAAAACATAATAATAATCAACTTCTCCTCCATGTTTGCTCTGAGGTGTACAGAGCATCCTGTCCGCTCATTGGTCAGTGAATGAAACCTCCGTTGATTGGTGCTCGTCCGAGCGACAGCGATGAAAAGTTGGAAATATTTCAACTTTCTGGGATCGCGTCGCTGGGTCGCCTGTGCACGACACGTGCATGAGTGCAAAATTTCACACGCACATTTTTCGCGTTTCGCTTGGTAGGAGGGAGACCCGCGATTATCGCTTTGTCGCGCATGTCTCATTGAAAATGAATGGAGGAGAGGCGATGTCGCCTCCCGTGTGTCGAGCCCATTAGTCAACTAATTGCAGGAATCAGGCTGATGTCTGAATTGTTTTTATTTGTTTATATCCAAAGAAATTAGCTATGGTTGGTTAGTAGCTCAATTAGTTGCAGCTTCAGTGGCTAGCAGTAATAACTCGCTTACATATTTTATTTAACAAATATATACACAACTTAAAAAGTAAAGGCTCGTTATATATTTATATTGAAACATATATGTAGACAATATAATGTTACCTCTCGTATCACGTCACGTTAAGTGACTGCCATGGAAGATGACAGGTTTTGGAGATTTATTTCCTGATATTTGGACATCTCGCTTCTTATTGGCTAACAGCAGCATGACTCTACCACTGACTGAGTTTGTTCTGCACCGTTGATGTTTTACCTCCAGAAATAACACAAGCCTGAAGGAGTTCTGCCATGGTATGAAGTTGCTAATGCTAACGGTTAGCTTCTACTACCCGAGTAGTGCTCTATTCTCTTCTGGGCACTAAACCAACAACAGCCTTCCCGGCATGAGCCAAGATGGGTCCATGAATGCTAATTTTCATTGTGACTTGAGGTTGACCAGCTTTTCTAGTCTGAGTGTTTCCCCATCTATTTTCTATCGGCGGCTAATGCAGGGCTAGAAAACCATTTTCACATTTGACCTGCATGTTAATCTCAGTAATGTGACATTTCCAAAATAACATGTAAAACATGGTTTTCCAGTGAACTTGGCGTTTAATATAAAAATGTTTGCAAATTTGCAACAAACCACTGTAAAAGGAAATTATTTTTCATAGTTTTGCTCATAACATTTACAGCTTTTTAAAGGTTTAAATTATTCAAATCTTTTGGGGTCAAAGTGTTGGATCATCCAACCAAACAGCCTACCAGCTGATCCATACGCCCACTTTAAGGCTGACCTAGATAAAAAGTTGACACAGGGACTCAGTCAAATGATATTAGAGGACTGAATTTTCTTGAGCATTTTCAAAAAGGGTGTTTGGAATATGATCGGAATACCAATTACTCACTTCAGGAGCACACACACAATCTTTATTTCTCACACTCATACAGAGTGGCATGCTTTGCCTCCCAGCTGTGAAGTGCAGAGGCAGCTGCAGAGCTGTCTAAGATGCTTGGAATTTTCAACATTAAAAAATAAAATCCATAGCTGTGGGTATAAGTGTGAGTATGCTTATGCCAAGTTTCTTTCCCTTTGATTTTGCACCACAAGTGCAGAGGCACCAAGCAGCCGGGAATCAAGTGTGCATGCAAAATACTCAAGCACCTTTAAGCGCTACTGATGATGCTGATGCGTACCTTGGCGGGTAGACGCAGGCTGAGTTAACTCAACAGAGTTTACTGTGGTATCAGCATTCCCGATGGTGGATCTTGACTCCGGAGAGCTTCCTCTGTCCTTGGAGCTGATTTCCTGCTCCGGATAGAGAGCATCTGTAGACTACAGAGAACACACATGCATGCACAAAAGAGTCAAATTAGATGGTATTCATGAATTCAGCAGGAAGTGGGAGAAAAATGGGCTGCAAAGATTTTAAGGCACTTACATCGATGCTTTCATGGTCAGCAAAGTTGACTCCATTCCTGTGTTCTGTGCAGAACACATCCAACATAAGTCACACAAGCTTGATGTTGATGATGTTATGAGAGTGTGTGTAGCGCATCTGATTGGTTCTTACCTTCCTGCTGAAGTATCTTGAGTCCCTCCTGAGCTTCGGTGTGGAGGTCTTCCAGGTACTGAGACCTGCTGCCTTCGATGAACACATTCTCCTGGTAGTATTGTGAGGCGGTGTAGTGAACCGTCAACCTCTTCTGGTCCTCATTCCCCTTTGGGCCAGCTGTTGTTATGGTTTGAAACAAAAAAAACACTTTAATAGGTCAGAAACATCCTCCTGTACATGCTAATCTGTGCACCTTTGATGCAGCAACACAACAAATCCCCTTAGCCAAGTTTGGTGGACAGATGTCCTTGTTGTCAAGGTTTTAGTAGAAAATCTACAACCGAGTATATCTTCTGAAGAATCTTAATGCTTCCAGGCTAGGCCCTGACGGGACAGGATAATCTGGCTCGTCCGCCTGTAAAGAAGCCATGGGACCAACTGCTGTGGGGACTTATCTTCCTGGATGGGCAAATGCGGGATGAAACTAACTCAATGTGCAAATATAGATCATGCATATAAAGGAAGCAGGTGCATACAAGGATCTGGACCAAGGGAAGTGGACTGTTGACCCCAGGTCATAAGGATCTCTGCCATAGACTGATATTGGCTTTGCAGGAATTCAACTAAGTCTAGTTAGGCTATTCGTGTTGACTCTTATTGCTTTCGTCTTATAAAAGCTTTCTCTGATGTAGGATTTGCCTTTGATGTGTCCACTAGCATAGAAATCTAGACAGACCGTATCAGCAGCACAAGATTTTACTCTGCAGGACGGGCTAGCCATGCCCCATGGAAGCCTCAGCAGGTCTACCTGATCAGTTTCATGTAGTGTTGGCTCAGGAACGGTGCTTGCTTGAAATTACGTCGGAATCAACTTTGGACGATTTAGACTCGGGCTTTTCTTTGAGACACAAATAGATGGAGGTACTTAGGTCCTTTATTTAAGACAAGGATGTGTTTGCTTTTTCTTTGACACGGTCCACCTTATTGTCTGATTTCCATAGCGATGAGTACGTGCCGTTTGTTGCTCTGATTGGCTCTAGCTCTGTCCAGTTGCAGACACAGTTTTAAAGACAACCATAGACTCCGCCGCATCACCGAGCTGTCTATCGGTTGTGGCCAGACTATATACATACATATATATATATGGGTTGCCAGGTTAGTAACAATGTGTATTTCACATACAAATATGCTTTTTTTAAGGTGCAAACTAATTCCAACTCCCAAAAATCGGTTTGTTTTCTTGTTTCTGTACTTTGTTGGATACATATGTGTGGGTATTCATCAGTTTCCAGCAAATGAGTTGATTTGTGTAATCATCAGGAGTCCATTTAAGCTTAAAGGGTTTCATGTTTAGAGAATTACTGGAAAAATCAGTCATGCCAAGAGGCTAAAAGCTCGGCTAAACAAGGCTTAATGCGAGGTGTCTGCTTTCCCTCCTTTGTTAGTTTCAACACTGCCTCTCCGTCTTACCTGATTAGGTAACACTGTGCATACACACAACCCAAACACAATGTCCTCCCCTGTGTGTGTCTGTGGGAAGGCAGACTCGTTTGATACACATCACATTTCTGCTAGGACTGAGAGCGTTTCATCACAGATGCTTCTCATGCATGAGGTGTTGTAGTTGTGTTTCAGACCCCCTGAGACTGAGTGAGACCCCAGCAGAAGACTCGAGGGTTTTAGCTGATTAAGATGATCGTTTAAAAAGCCTCCAAAGCTCCTTTATCTCATTAAAGCCGACCTTTACACTAATTCTTGCGTGCGGGTGTGTCTGTGTGTTTGCAAGATGAAAAGACAGTTCAAGAAAGCAAGTCTCTGATTATCTTTACATCTTCCGAACTAATGCAAATCATGCCTCTGTGGTGGAGGCGGTGCAACCATCTCAGCCAAGCTCCAGAAAGTTCGTCTCTAACTAACTTTATTTATGTGACTCCACGTGAGCCGGCACTCACCCTTCTTCTTGAAGACAGACAGCAGAGAGTGGATGCTCTTCCTCATGTAGACAACCATGCCTACACCGGTGCCATAGCTGATGCCAAACCCAAATAAGGAACTAAATCGGAGCAGGCCCCTCACGCTCCGAGCCTGTAAATGTTCTTGGGATTCAGAGAAGATCCAGATGCCTTGACCTCTGAGGATAGCGGAAAGTAACTACAAGCCCCGCGGTGGTTTGACTTTGTTTAGCGACCGCAGATGCTGAGTGTCTGAGTGACTTCAGAGACAAGTGCACAATGAGATCAGCTCCCAGACCAAGCTGCCCATCCCAGCTGCCTTATCCGTAATTCTGCTCCCCCTCTCTGCTCTCCTCTGGACTGTTTTGCTCACATTGTTAAATGACGACACACCCTCCCCTTCCTCCTGCCTCTCGTCTTTCAAGCAAAACGCCTGTCAAAGTTTGGTTTCAGTCAGCAACAACCCCCCACTTTCTACAATAAAGAGGGACACGCGTGGGGCTGGGCGCACACCAGCCAACCAGTCCTGGGTTACGCCTCCTTCATCCTAATGAGTTTTGGGATCCATAAAGGAACAAGAATCTAAATCTGAACCTATCCCATAATAATTGATAACAGGTCTTCAGCAGTATGTGTCCGTCCAACGTGGCTATGGAGGTAAACCACTTCATCACGTCTCCTCTTCTCTTTTCTTTCTGCCAATCCGTCACGTCTCTTGCTTTCTCTTCCTGTCTGTCCTCCCGTAGCCCCGTCGCCATCAGAGGTCTGGCTGGACTTACACATAGCTGCAGCTCATCATCGGGGCAGCAGTGGCTCAGGTGGTAGAGCGGGTTGCCTCATGATAGGAGGGTCATGGGTTCGATTCCAGCTCCCGCCAGGGGTATCCTGCTGTTGTGTCCTTGGGCAAGACACTTCACCCAACTTGCCTGTGTTAGTGGTGGTCAGAGGGGCCGACGGCGCCAAATGGCAGCCTCGCCTCTGTCAGACCTCCCCAGGGCGGCTGTGGCTACAAGTAGCTCACCATCACTGGCAGTGTGTGAATGTGAGAGTGTGTGAAATGCATCTTTGGGTGTCTAGAAAAGCGCTATATAAGTTCAATGCATTATTATCATCGGTAACAGTGCTGTCTGGGGCGAGTTTCTGTCTGCCTGCTAGCGTTTCCTGACAAGCTGCACAGAACGGGAAATACAAGTACAAAAGTAGCCTCTTTAAAATAGTGACGATTTTGTGCAAATAAACAATGTGTTTGAGTTCAGGAGACATTTGGAGGAAAACTCCTATCCCATCACCTATTGAATGGATGTTTACTCCAATTGAAATGATCCAGCAGGGGGCTACAGCTGGCCTCCACAAGAGCCTCCTGGCACTGGGGCCTAGCTGGGCTTTGTTGAGGAAGTTTCCACTCCAGCTTTCAGGGTCAGCCTGGTGAACCTGAAGTGATGGTGTTGGTTCAGGCACCCGATGGTGTGAGGGAAGCTCAGGCACTCAGGAGAGCAGCTTTAGATCCAGGAGTCGTGCCAACCACAGGATTAACTCAGCCACGAGCTTAACCTGTCCATCTCTTCACCTCCTCCACACCTGACATCTGTTTTCCTCTCACCTCAGCGTCTTTGGTGTTGGTGCCAACTTTCTGTCTAATCCATATTCATTTCTGAAACTCGGTTTTCTACGAGCCATGCTGGATTATGAGCATGAGATAAGAGCTTTGTTTCACTGTGACGACGTGGCCCGTGTCTTCAAATAAATACCCCTTTACTTGTGCCAGTGTTGGTGGAGGTGGGGGTTCTGGCCTCACCACAGCATCCCAATATTAACATTCCTAAAAGGGCCTAATGAGACACCATCTGGTCCTGGAGGAAAGGGCAGAGGGCACTGGGGGGTGCTCCACAAGGCTTTCATTCAGCACAATTCCTCTGCATGAGCCGACTCAAACTCCATCACAAAGGAGGAATTTAAGTTTAGATTCAGAGTTGTGCATTATTTACGTCTCACATCCAGACTGAATAGCATCTTCTAGCCTGTCTAAGCTTTGAACTGCAGTTGTTTTCCAGCCTTGTTGGTGTGAGTGTGACAGTTTTAAATCTTCTGCAGCAGGCGGCTGGAGTTGTTAGCAGGTCAAACAGCCCATGGAAGAACAATCAGACGTCCTACAAACACTTAATTAAAGGTCAAATGTCAAAAGTCTTAGACACGTTCACAATAATGTGCAATTGTCCTCTGCTGATTTACATCTGCCCAGGTCTCCAACAAGCACATTTTTACTTTTAGTTTACTCTTAAACAAATATACAAATATATGCCATTTCCCAATTCTAAATGATCTAGATTAAAAGGTAAATTATTCGTTCCTGGAAAAAGCCGTTTGCGCAAGCTACATAAAAAAAATAACTATTCATAGGCCCGACCCCTTTCTTCAGGCTCCGCCTTAGAGTCACACAATCGGATGGCGGCAGAAAATGGCAGAGGTGTGACCAAGTCGCTGCTTTTCAAGTCACAATAAGTCACAAGTCTTTCCAGTCAAGTCTTGAATTAAGTCCAAGTCAAAGACAACCAAGTCCAAGTCGAGTCCAAGTCCTTAACGTTCAATTTTCAAGTCATAATCGAGTCACCTGTCCAACTTCAGTTTAATGACGATGATAATAAATAAATTCCAGGAATAAAGTTTCTTAAAGCTTCATTTATTTACTCAAACAAGCAGGAAGTGCAACTGAAACTGATGATAAACAAAGTGCTGCTGCATGTAGACGGAACAAGATCAAACCCAGAACCAAGAATGAGTCATGATTTTTGTCCATGTCATGCCACTTTTGTGCTAAAATATCAAATATGCTCAAGTCATCATCAAGTCAACAGATGCAAGTCGATTCAAGTCGCAAGTCATTGGTGTTCATGTCTGAGTCAAGTCGTAAGTCTTTATAGATTTGATCAAGTCAAGTCAGAAGTCATTAAAATAATGACTTGAGTCTGACACCTCTGGAAAATTTAATAACACTTGCTTGTGATCACACACACACACACACACACACACACACACACACACACACACACACACACACACACACACACACACACACACACACACACACTCGCTGAGCTGAGTGTCCTCATGCTAGCATACATAGCATGAGGATTTTTATTGTGAATGCTGTTAGCTTTCTCAGTGTTACCAACAAATCTGGGGAATCCTCACAAGCCAACAAAACCTCCAGAACACCAACAGAACGTCATCATTTCCAGAGGCAATTCAATTCTTCATTTCTTTTTTCCAAACTTTCATTTATTTGTTGCCATTGGTATGTGCAGAAAATTTCAAGAAAACACATAATCGTGGTTCCTTATGGATCACTCTAACCACAGTAATATCAGACTGCTTTAGATTCACTAGATTACCATAAATTAAAGAGACAATGTGTAGATTTTACCATTAATCTCAGGAAACATCCATCGAAATATTGTTGAAAATGAAATAAATGATGCCCAGTTGTTGGAAAATATTGTTGACTTTGCAACATGTAACCATAAAAATCGGGTCTGAAATACATCGGCAGAGGTCTAAGGGCGTTTCTCAATGTCAAGGCGCCTTGCTTACGAGGACACTGTCCTTCCTTGGTCAAAGAAAACGATTAAATGGAACAGACTTGCATCACGTGACCGCTGCTTCCACGGCAGTCACGTAACGTCACGTGACACGGGAGATAATGTTATATTTTATATGAATTACTTTCAATATAAATATATAACAAGCCTTTTACTTTTTAAATTGTGTATATATTTGTTAAAATAAATATATAAGGGAGCTACTACCCACTAGCCCCCGAAGCTGCAACTACTAAGCTACTAACCAACCATAGATAACTTCTTTGGATCTAAAAAACATTTGAAATTCGTTGACTTGCTTTTAAACTTGAAATTTGCCCCAGATCTAGCTGCTGGCTTCTGATCCACCATCCTTTTGAAAATACCGCAGTGTATTCTGGGTAATTTTTGACCAAGACTAGGCTACAAGTCACCTCCTGTGTATCCTAGCTAAACGGCTAACAAACGAACACACGCCTCGGTAGAACATGAACATTGGAACACGTCTTGGCGGCTCCTGATGACATATCTCCTAGGCAACCGAGGCGGGGCAAAGACATCAAAGTGAGGTTCCTTGGCATTGAAAAACACCTTAAGTCTTTGGGCGACGCCATATTAGACAGCACGTTTCATTCTACAGGAGCCCATGAGGACAAAATGCATAGATTTATAACAAGCCGTTAAAAAAATTTCGCCATTCATAAACGTTGTTTTACACGTTTATCTCTTCACTCGTTGCCAGTGATGAAGGGGAGTCTGGCGTGTTATGTGTCATTTAGCTGGAGGTTGAACGATCTGACAAAGTACTTGTTCGAAAATTGTGCTTGCAGGGATTTTTGACCCTAATGGCCATTCGTTGGTAAAACTATCACTTTCTTGCTAGGATTTAGGTATATACTGCCCCCTATCGCCAGGGAAGAAACACACGTCACTTTAAAGCACTAACTGAGGGTGAAATACTTTCATTATTTCTTTGTGATCAAATCTAACATTTTATCATTTTGTTTTATTTATTCCTTTTTGTCATAGGGTTTTTATTCATCATCTGAGTTATGTGAAATGTGACGTTCACAAATGTTCACATAAAAGGCAACGTTTTCCGTCTAAAATAATATATTTCTTTATTTTAATATTTTCTGAGGAAGTGCACAATGGAGTGTTAGTGTTGCATTTACATCGGGTTTAAGAGCCAGGTGGAAACAATAATAACTCTGCTTAGTTCAGCCCTAAACCAAACACTACTGCAGGAGTGTTTCAACATGTCTTTAAAACAGCTGATAGCATCACGAAGGTTGATTTCACTGAAACCAGAAACTGTTTTAACCACTTTTACAGGAGGAACTGAACTAATCAGCAGAGATCAGGAGAATCTTAATGATCCCTGCAAGAATAAAAACTGTTTTTATGACACATGATAAAAAGAAAAGTGAGGCAATTGTTCCCACTAAGTGGGATTCTTAAGCCGTTTCCAGTTTTTCTGAGCTGATTGAATCAAATTCCATCAATCCATCACAGACTGAAAAGTATAACTGCAAAAGTTTTTTTTAAGTTGCAAAACTGAAAATATTTCCCAAATAATACGTCAAGGCTAATTTAAGAGGAACAATGACCACCAGAGGCGCTAACACAGAACAAGCTTCACGCTCTACTAGAGAGTTCTTAATCAGCTCTCACTCTGCTTCGACTGCAGGTGTGAAGCTGCAAAACCAGCAGGTCATCTGATGAGTTTGCACTCCGAAGATCCAGAGTTTGTGTTGATGCTGAGCAGAAAGCAGAAAAAAGTAAAATGCTCCCAACCGGATGGCCAGTGCACACGCCTGACACCGACACACTCAATGAGTTGAATTTAGTTCATCTCATGTCCTCGGCTCACTCCCGCGTTTGCAGCTTGTGGGAGCAAACAAAGGAGAGGGAAAACAGGGCAGGGTGGGGTGATGGGCGGATGGATGGATGAATAAGGTGACCCTGTCTCAACAGCCAGGTGAGAGGTAAATCTGAGGATAAATGGGGAGCCCTGGATTAAACGCTGCCCGGCCAATAAAAAAGGTCACGCACTAATATTTTGTTGGACCACCTTTAGGTTCAAGTACGACACACATTCACTGTGGAGTTGTTTCGATGAGCTTCTGCAAGGTCACCAGATTGATTTCCATCCAGTGTTGCATTAATGCTTCACCAAGATCTTGCACTGACAATGGTAGAGTCTGACCGCTGCACAAAGCCTTCTCCAGCCCAAGATTCTCAATGGCATTAAGATCTGGACTCTGTGGTGGCCAATCCATGTGTAAAATAATGTCTCGTGCTCCCTGAACCACTCTTTCACTATTTGAACTCGATGAATCCGGGCATTGTCATCTTGGAATATGCCCGTGTCATCAGGGAAGATGGAATAACCTGGTCATTCAGGATGTTCAGGTAGTCAGCTGACCTCATTCTTGGAGCACATCCTGTTGCTGAACCTAGACCTGACCACCTGCAGCAAGCCCAGATCATAACACTGCCCCCACAGGCTTGTAGACACTAGGCATGATGGGTGCTTCCCTTCATCTGCCCCTCTTCTTACCCTGATGCACCTAACGCTCTGGAACAGGCTCCATCTGGACTCATCAGACCAGTTTTAATAATGCGTTGGACAGCTCTTAACCCAGTTTTAGTCGTTTCTGCATCTCCTTAGACGTTTCCTGTTCATGACGCATGCCAGTGATCTGACCCTTCTCAAACAGACTAACATCTTTTCCACGACCACCAGACGTGTCTTTCCACCTGGTAGTTTAATGAGAAGCCACTCATTGCACCAGTTGGAGTTAAATGACTTGTTGCAGCTGAAAGATAATTGCCCATGCAGTACTTATCCAGTTGGAGGCTCCTACCTGTTTGCTTAGTTAAATTCAGGTGGTGGCGTTTTCTTTGGCTGGGCGATGTATTTAACATCCGTTGGCTCATTGATAAAGCGGGCTGCAGCAGGGACGGTTGTAATTCTGTTTTTAACCAGTAGGGGGGAGACGCCAAAAACCTATTAAGAGCTGCTTTAAATGTGACAAAAAATTAACAACAAACCTTAATGGGAGCTATCAGCTTCTCACAGAACTGAGATGTGCTGATTGTTTTTAACAATGGCGCTCTGGAATGAGGATCCACCTGGGTTATGATGAGTGGACATGCCACCTCAGTCTCATCCAGTTACCTTTCATGACCACAATCTGCTTGAGTGAAGCAGGACAGGGTTAAAATGTAACACACACACACACACACACACACACACACACACACACACACACACACACACACACACACACACACGCACACGCACACGCACACACACACACACACACACACACACACACACGCACGCATGCGCGGATATCAAGGACGTAATTTTCACTTTAGAAGTGGGGGGGGGGGTATCTTTACAATATGTTCTAATGGGAAACAGGCTTCAACACAAACGGTTGCTTTCGGCTTGGTCCTAGAGCTCAACCAGTGTCAATTTAATATAGCGTAATATTGTTTTTGGATGGTAAAATGTGCAGGGGTCAAAACTTGACTTTGGAAAAAGTGGGGGGACATGTCCCCCCTGTCCCCCCCCCCCCCCCCCCCCCCCCAAAATTACGTCCATGGCGGATATCACTATTCAGATAATCTCTGCTCCATGATTTGTATTCAGTGGCTGTTGTGGAGTTGAGCTATGAGCTTTCTGACACTCAGACGTGAGACCTTACCACAGAGAAGGATTTCTCCATCATGTAAATATCTAAGAGATGCAGTCATGGATGTCTCTGTGATTTTATGGAGCTCTCCACATAAGTCCTGATCAGGCTGAAATAAAAATGAATGGATCAGAGATTGAGTCAATTTATCACCAAGCTAACAATCCTGTAGGGACCATGAGAACACAAGCTGTTTTAATAGGAGCCTTGAGAGGTTAAGGGGATGAAAGAGGAAATGAAGTGGATGAGGAGAAGAAGAGGAAGGGCAAAGGGGAGAGGGAGGAGGTGCACGACAGGAGGATGACATAAATCACTGCCCACAGTAACTGCCACCACCGGATTGTGGGATTGCTTCAGAGATGGAGCGGGAGTGAGAAAGAAAGACGAACGGATAAACAGAAACTTAAAAGAAGGAAAGACCCCCCCCCCCCCCCCCCCCCCCCCCCCCCAAGCAGGACTGCATACAGATTTATGGGCCATTCCCATCTGTACCGGGTCGGCCCGGGCCGGGTAGCGTAGGTTGTTTACATATCTGGGTGGCCTGGTATTTTTCCGGGCCAACCAAGGCTCATTCTCAGCCCTCTTCTCGAGGGGGTCTGCTTCAGGCCGACCAGGGCCAACACACCCACTGCTGACAGCAAATTCACACCTTCCATTAGAGCAAGCCTCTGATTGGTGGGTAGAATCAGCCCACATGGGCTTAAGACAAGGATGTGTGGAATCAACCGGGCCAGGCTGGGGCCGACTGGGGCTACCCGGCCCGGGCCGACCCGGTACAGATGGGAATGGCCCATTAGTGCTACATTTCATCCTGAGGAGCAGGTTAAACCAGCTGTAGAAAAAATTAAGTTCAAACTGAAGTGAAGAGAGCTAAAAGAACACAGTACCTCCTAAATGATTCAGAATAAACAAACCTAATAACACGACCAAAGAAAATTAGTGAAGAGCACACAGGCATGTCTTCATGGGGTTCATTTCTAAAGTGTTCTGAGTGAGTTGGTGAGAAAGAGTTTAAAATGAGTATCTGAAAACACGTTTCCTCCACATCAGGTGAGCGACTGGTGGACCCAAAGCCTTGGCCGCAGAGGTGGACAATAATAAAAAAAATTAAATTAAAATTAAAAGAAATTGATAACGAACATTCTGTTTCAATTCAATTAAGTTTATTTGTATAGCGCCAATCTACAACAGGAATTCTTCATTTCAGTTCATTGTTCCAATTAGTTGGAAGTTCCCTATGTAAAGGAAACTGCTTCAAGTCACTGGCTCGTTGTGCCATCTACCTCCATGCTAAGCAAGCATGTAGCGACAGTGGAGAGGAAAACTCCCCGCAGGCAGGAAGAAACCCCCAACAGAACCCGGGTCAGCATGAGCAGCCAAGAACACAAAGCAGGTGTTGGTAACAGCTGGATCTAAGGCTTCATTTAGGAAACTGGGGAGTATAAACACCGGGTCAGGTGTTTACTGGGTGCACAGAAATGCAATTGGTTGCATGAAAATAGTCTAAAAGTAAACGTTAATTCTGCTTCATCTAAAGTAAATCCTGGTGCTACAAAGCTAACTCTCACAGCCTCAAGAGTTGGTATTTAGAGCAGCAGTCCCCTTTAGCATAAACAGATCTACAAAAGCCCCGGTCCCTGGTGGTTCAAGCAGAGATGTGTCTGGCTCACCTCATCGTCCCTCTCCAGAAACAAAAGAGAAAAAGTTTGCGTTTCATTTTTTATTCTAACCTAAAGCCAGCACGAGGGTGACTGATTGAACCCCAGGACCCCCGATTCGGTTGCTAAACTTAGCTCCTGCAGCTCTTGTCAGGAATAAAAATAGTTCCTGCCATTCTTTTCCTAATTATCCCTCCCTGGCTCTCTCCTGGAAGAGGGATCACGGGAATATGAAGTATATTTATCGCTTGTTGTTCCAACTTTAAAGACTCTGACATGGATGAGTCACGGTTCACTCACTGCTCAATGCATTCATTTACAGCCTCAAGAGAAGACAATAAAGCATCAGTTTGTTGCTGACGGGTGCGTGGGAGTGGGAGCAGGAGTCCCGGGCATGACCCTGGAAAATTATAATTGGTGACAACATCCTTCCTGGGTAGAAACATACATGCAGGATGGGCCTTGGATTGCAAAGTACTTGTGTCCACTGATGTAGCAGATTATGAACAAGTGCTGTAGGGTCTTTCTTCTAATGCTGAGGGGTCCTATCCATTGTGATTGATGAGTTAATGAGACACCCACAGCTCCACGAAGTCTCGTCTCAGAGCAGGACAGGACAAGCCAGAGGCCCCGAAGTCTGATTCCTCTTTTGGAGCTGAAATCCATCCTCAGCAAGGTCTGACAGCTCAGGTGGCCATTTTAGAAATAAACACAGGACATTCTAAGCAGGGCATTAGCTCTCTTTAAAATGTCTTGCTTTTGAGCCTGCATCTTGTGCCTATGCTGGCCAGAAGCTGAAGGTTTTTAGGTTAATAGAGCTGTGACCACCTGTCTTCATGGACAATATTAAAGATGAAAACTCTCTACTGGACTGTAGATGTGAAGGGAGAAGCTCCTCCTTAAAGCTTATTTACCAGATCAACAAAGCAATCTAGCTTTTAAAGGCACACTTGGTGGTTTTGCTTGATTTTAGCACCCCCTAGTGTCCATTATCAATTATCTGTGGTCAAACCCAAAATGAAACGTATGTCCTTGCTGCATATTCATCTTTTTAACACCTTAATCTAACAGCTAAAATGTCTCCTCAGCCTTCATTAGTGTCCACAGGAGCAGTTCATCACTAAATGAAACAGATCAGCTGTGATCACGATCTAAAACATGCAGGAAACGTGCTGGAAGCAGAATTGCAGCGCATGGTATGGAAGCTCCATTTTTATAAGTCCAATAGGTGGAGGCCCGACAGCTCTGAAGTTGCAAGTGTGGCATTCTGGCCACAGAGGGTGGTGGGGGTCAGGGGCAAAAATCCCATTTAATTTTTTGGGGGGGACAACTTTATGCCAGAGGGGGACATGTACCCCCGAGACCCCTGGGTTATTCGCCTATGGTGGGGGTCAGAGTGACATTTCATTAACACAAACACAGTCACAGAACTCACTCCTGCTAGCTATCACCCCTGGGCCACGCCCCCCTGATACTGGAACACACATTGTCACAGTAAACAAGATAGATGTTGTCTGTAACTTCAAATGGTGTTTATCTTTTGGGGACTTTGGTAGTTTCTCCGAGATTTGAAATGGTAGCATTCACTCGCTCTTCCCTGTAGAAACACACCCAGCTCTATGGTTCCAATGCACGCTGAAGGTCGACGAACCCATACCATCTGCATCCAACTCACATGGCAAGGCCCAGTTTATGAAGATTGTAATCAGAAACATCTTTAAAAGATCAAGTTTGTGATAAGCGCACACCTCCAGGGCCAAAACGAACAACTGTGGACTCTGGATGAGATCACAAATCTAGAAAGTCTTCCTGTGGCCAAAGTCAGGTCTGAAAAAGTCTTAAACATTCAGTTACTGGAAGCAATAAAACCCAGACATTTGTTTTGGTTTGGAAGGAGATTGTAGTTTGATTTTGAAAATGACAAGCCACGTTAGAGGGGATCCACCAGAACAGATAAGTATCCTCATTCTAGATTTGTATGTTATTTAATACAGATTGTCTCCTAACAGGACAATAAAAGCACTGCAGCTGTTCAGAAGGCTTCTTAAAGGGGCATTATGGAAGTTTAACAGCCAAAACATGTATAGAAATAATAAATGTCTTTTGCAAACATTCCCCTGCAATGCCCTGGTCCTGTAGAATGAGCCCTGGCATTTTTACTGTGATTGCCTGTTTTTCTGTAAAATCACAGAAAAAGAGAGATGCTCGGGTCGAGCAGGCTGCTTCATGCGCGTTCACGCTCAGGCATAGCCCGTAGCATTTGCTATCAGTAACTTTAGTCTTTGTCGCTGTTCCTAACGCCTAGTGACAAAGCTAGCTACATTTCTGAGGACCCTTAGCTACTTTCTGTAGAACTTTCTTCTAGATATTTCCTGCAAATTAGCAACAAAATAGCCATTTTCGCTCCAAACCTTTCTCTGAACTTTGTTTCAGCTCTGATCAAGGATATAAATGTTACAGATACAAAGCACATCACTGGCGCTTTAACGCATTTAGTAAGACGTCAGACTGACATGCAGAAGACCTGGGTTTGATTCTGGGTGTGAACATAGTTTATTTAGAGTTTAGTTTTTACATTAATGGTATATTTTTTACAGTAAGATGCCCAAATTTTTTATTTGAGACTCGCCGAACGGCATTCACGGATAAAAAATATGTGGGTTCAACTTTCATTTTGGAACAATTTTTCAAGCAAGGGAAGGGAATGATCTGAGCATGCAGGAGGACTGACCCATCATAAACCTTTGTCGGCTGTGCTGAAGAGAAAGGTACAGAACCAAATTATTTAATTAATTAGCTGCGCGTTCTCCTGTCCTCTGTCCTCCGGGCCACACACACACACACACACACACACACACACACACACACACACACACACACACACACACACACACACACAGGACTGTCTCAGCTGTTATTTTCGTTAAGGAGTGTACACGTACAGCATGCGCACCTCGTGCTCGAGCCTACTATTGAAGCTGCCGTTACGCTTTTGGCCTGAGGGGGCAATCACGAGCATAAAAATTCAAAACTCCATAAAGTCCCTTTAACCTTTTCTCGATCACAGTGATGACACAATGTCCAAATGTCACCATCTAGTCCGTCTCATTAGTGAATGCAAATCTGTGTTAGCATTAGCTGCAACTAAAGAGGAACATAAATCATT